ACGGACAGACGGACAGACGGACGGACGGACAGACGGACAGACGGACAGACAGACGGACAGGGCCAAATCAACTCAGCTCGTCACCCTGATCAAGAATATATATACTTTGTGGGGTCTGCCACGCCTCCTTCTGCCTGTTACATACATTTCAACAAAACCATTATACCCTGATTTCCCATTGAAAATGGGTTCAGGGTATAAAAAGTAAGGATCAGCCTGCTTTTATATGCAGCCTTATTTTATATATAAAATCCCACTGAGTCTCATAATTCCATTAAATCTTAATCATTTTTATTCGCAAATTAATATCAATTGTTTTCAATTTAATAAAATAATTTTTTCTAATTAAGGCCATACTAAATATAAGCCAGAAGTCGGCTAACTTTCCCATCTCTACTATCAGGTATAACACACATATTGCTGAGTATATGTTAGTCAGCCACCACAGACTAATTCGTTTTTTTCACAAGCTTTGCATTTGTGTTTGCAATTTGCTTAGTGCTCTACCTACCCTCGTCCCTTTACCATCGCCCCTCGGCCCTCTCCCTCTGTGGCTCATCCTTGATGTCCTGCTGCAGTCTGTGCTGTTACGCTTCGCATTCAAAGTTAGCATTATCTGACTCTACACGCCCATTTCGTTATTTTTGTCTCTATCTCTCTCTCTCTCTCTCTGTATGTGTGTGTGTTTTGTGTGTGTGTTTACGCCATGTTTGCACGGCCTTTGTGACCAGACGCAGGCCATTGCTGAGAGCGTCGAGCTGCAACATCAGCGCCGACTTAGGCAATGGCTGGGCCGCAGCAGGAGGAGCAGCAGCAGGAGCCGGCAATAAGCCCCATCATCTAGTCTTCCATGTGGCATTTTGTTGTTGTCGCATGTGAATATTCAGTTTGTTTGTTTTATTTGTATTTTTTTCTGTTGAAATTCGACTCGTCATTTTTTAGTGCAGCATTAAATGTGCAACTTTTTTTTTTTTTTTTACCCTCTAACCTATGTGAACGAATCTAAAGGGTATGCAGGATTAGGGCAAATTCAGCTGAGCATTAACAATCTAATCATGTGCGTCGTCTGTCTAGCTTCTGTCTGAATGGGCACAACGAACTATCAGAGCTATCAGAGAATTGATAACTGAAGTTCTTTCACGCATAACTTTTCAGTAATTTATTTAGAGTGGGAAATTAAAAAAAATTAAAATAAAATAAAATAAAATAAATTAAATAAAATACAAACTAAATTAAATAAATTAAATCTTTAATAGTGCAACTTTGATTTTCAGCAACTAATAAATCACAATATGTCACAGATTTTTCAAATAAATTTTAGTTGCACTGAATTGATAGGCAAGGAATTAAAGTCATTTAATACCCAATATAAAAATCTTTCTTTAAATACGATTATCATCTGCATTATAATACATTTTTGTTAAATAATTTGCAGTTTTAAAGGCAGAAATATGTTAAACATAATTTATAATTCAAACTGAAAAGAATGAGAAAAATGTTTCGCAAAATCCTCTCTTTTACCTACAACTCTAATGACTCAAACTTTAGATTGAATGATATGAATGTCCAGTAAAGTTTTACGAATTTTAGCAATCAAAAAAATCGAACTATTTGCTAAATGCCACTTGACCAAAAAAGAGGCATTAAAGAGGAGAGAGCAGTGAGCCAAGCAGAGATGGATGTAGTAGAGGTATTCAGTGAATACAACAGAAGATATCTCAATTGAAAATCAATTATTCACAAATTAAAGAAGAGTTTGCAAGGAAGATAATCTTAAATATTTTAGCTGCAATTGTGCAACAACAAAATTATATTTATGAGGGAACTCAGGTGGAGCCATTTCAAGTAGAAAGGGAAATAAATGCAGAATTAATTTCATTTAAAATTAATTTAAAATTAAGACTCTAATTATCAGTTTAACCATGCCAAAGTAGTTAAATACAGCTAGAAGTGTTCCAGGCAATAGCACACGAGATTGTAAATCCAAAGAGTATTTGAAACTGGTTAAGAGTATCAACAAAACGAAGTAAGCGATTCGAGTCTTTTATGTTTATCGCTAATTATCTCGAGATAAGCAGACTACCTACCTGTGCACACACATATACATAGCTACACATATATTTATATTCATGTATTGGCAAATAGAGAAACTTCTGCACACATGCACTCCTATTCATGTGGCATATAATTTGTGGGTGTTGTGAAGAATTAACCTCTTAATGAACTAATTTACTAAAGATTAAGACAGCAAACAAAAGGCGACCACAGCTAATTGTGTGTCAGGCTGGCTGAGACGACGGGACGATGAGGAGAAGGAGCAGGAGTAGGAATAGGAGTAGCAGCAGCAACAGGAATAGGGAAATAGGAAAGGAAACGAAGCGAAACAGTGGTCTCCGGGCAGACAGATGATGAGAGTGTGCACGCAAGGCTGAGTCAAATGGACGAGTCGTAGCTGCGATCTCAGATATGGACAAGCAAATTGCAAGGCGGTTAATCTATTTAAACGCGCCAAATACACGCGACACAATGGGAGAATCGGACTAGAGGACCATGAGGATGCGTTGTGTTCGAGTGCACAGATTTTGGGATAGAGCGGATCAGAGGCCCAAATAGCCATGCTCTAGTCTGCAGGCAGCGAGAGAAG